AGCTGTGAGAACCTCGTGCTCGTCGGACAATGGTTGTAGCTGCCACAGTTTCGTCCACCGATAACTTGGGAAGATGGGGTAGGTAGCTGATAGATTCTTGCGTACATACAGCACTGTCAGTGGAGTTACAAGTAAGGTGATTGAAAAAGGAGCTATGGATCGAAGGCAATACCTTGGATGCACAAGCGCCATTGAGGGCGCGACTGGGCCATGTCTGACAGTGTCTATAACGATTGATGTGGCCCGCCTTATTAGCTGGGTATTTCTGAGTTTACCAAAAGCTCACCTATACCGGTGGTTGTCGATTTTATCCGGTGATGAAAATGAGACGGTTGTTTATTTCCCCTGAAGTTAACACACTTCCTGCCTCACTGATTGCTTTACCCTTATATCTGGCGGACCCGCCTCAATTATTTGCACAAGATCACCCTGAAAGAGAAGTGTGGTTCCCACAACATGGGAAAGGCCCCCTAGGTGGTGACTGATGGGGAATGGATAGATACAGGTTCTCCTAGAAACTGAGATCCGTTCATCTAGGTGTGTACGGGAGTTAGTACATCGGCAGACTGTTAGCATACCAAAAACATAGATAAAAACTGCTCCTCTTTTGGCATCCGGTCTTTTCTTGTTTGTGAATTCGGTTGAATGCCTTGCCTTTAGATCCCTCACTTTAAGCGCATTAGTGTGTTCGGGCATTCCTTTCAGCCTTTCGTTCGATAGATTTCATCAAACTATCTGTATTTCTTACTAGGACACGATAAATTGTTAAATTATCTAGACCACAACCTAACAAACAGTCATTTCTCTACTCCGGTGTCTTCAAGAAGATTTCATTAATTGTAATACACTATTCATAAGGTAGCTGAAAAATCTTCGACAGCCCACGGCTGGTTTTGCCTCTCCTGGAGTTCATCAGGTAGACGCAGTTTCCGAGTTTCTGTCAAATCTGTTTTACTTGAACCCAAATTTCTCAGAAACATCATAAACAAGAGACTCACCTTGGTTCCAGGTGGGTCTACGTTCAAACCCAAATTGGTGCGCAAGTTTCTTACAATCTGATTTCAAGCAAAACGTAAGGTTGACGAAACTCTAGGACGGTGCCTACCTGATGAGCTCCAAAAAGAGCGAAACCGATCATGGGCTGTCAGAGTTTTCAGCAACCTTATGAGGAGTGACCTACGTCTATTTGTGCACCGTGATACCTCGAATATCGTACCAACTGAAATATGAGGCGGCCTGATGCCGTACATTTAGTTGCTTGAAAACATCATAAACGAGAGATTCGGATGGGTTCTAGATGAGTCTCCCTTAGAAACCATATCGCTACGCAACTGAGTAAATTTCGCCAGTTTTTATTAAAGTTTCATGCCTTGCTTTTTCAATTTGGGTGACTAAGGGTCCCACTAAAAAGATAAGTTTTATCATCTGTTCGGTTGAACCGTCATTTGGATACAGTGAACCCTTCTGAAAAGCTCATCTAGATCTTCTCAAAGGGTTCATGTGAGAAAATTATAATTTCTGGTTTGATGCTTTTAAAACTGGGTCGTCCTACGCTTCAAAGACCATTGAAATTTATGACACCATTGTTACACATTTGTTTGTTCTTCTCATCAAACGCATTTATCTTCTGTCAAGTCTTGTTTTCGCTACCGTGTGTCCAGTCATAACTCTTTGCTACGTCAAGTTCCTCTTAATGAAGTCTCAAATAGTGGGTTTTCCGAAACCATGATGATACTTCAGTCGTGGAATTCATCCGGCATTATCGTTCTTGTCTTACGCATGCCGGAACACTGTCTGTCATAACAAGTGTTGTTCTTCATGCCAACTTCAGAATGGCGCAAACCGCCAGTTGGATAAAGCATGACTTGGTATAAGCGTGTAAAATAGGTTAGGAAGAGTTGGTGTCGTACGCCTTCCAAGAATGGTGATCCGTGACCACGCCTGAACTTGGTTGGAGACTATGCAAGATGTGGAAGCTGATGGATGTCAGTAGCGTTTGTGCTGTCAGTTTCCAGATTGTCTGATTAGGCGCTTGGAAGCGTAAGAATCCCAGAATGCTTGACATAGGCAATCACTGGGTCGCTCGCTAACCCACTCTTTTTCTCTTCTTTTTACTCTTAGTCTTTGAATATAATTCGATGAAATTTATGTTTTTATGCCGGTGAAACATCAGCGTCAACACTAACATTGCTGTCTCTGATGGTGAAGATGATGATGATGATGATGGCAACCAGCCATTTCCAGATCATGAGGATACATTTTTCTTAACCCTTAAGTGATCTGTCAAACACAAGCTCAGTTAGAATACTTAAATCAACTCTGCTACCGAGTAAATTCCCAACGGCGACATTTTACATTCCAAGGAGTGTGCCCGCTAGTAAAAAGAAATTCGGAAAGGACTTGATGGATAAGTGATGCTACTCCCAAAATCTACTCTCTCTCCCTCTTTGTAAGGTTGGATTAAGTTACCCTGTACTTAGTTTATCAGTGTTTCGAAAACTTGTTTCGAAAACAGTATGTAGTGAACTCTCGATCAATGGCTCCCTCTTGGAAAGCGATGTCTCCAGTAGGCTTGTATGGCCATAAATATCCTTCAAAGATTCAAAAACCTGTTCTATGAAAATGATTCTACGGATAAAGACTGGGTTAATAAACTGATGCGAGTCATCCAGTTTTTTGGTATGCGCCTTGAACCCACAAGATGTAGGGCCATGCTAGTGGACATACAATCGCTTAATGTTCCACTTAACATCCAGGAAAAGGTACTCAAAGTTTTGGAGCAATTTATTTATCTCGGAAGCTGTATTAGATCCAGGCAGGAAACTCTAAGGGTTGGGTAGCGTTTGCTAATATGATACACCTGTAGCGCCAAACAGGTATATCCCTGAATCTCGAGAAAATTGTCTTTTAGGCTACAGATTAGACTGCTTTGTTTTATGGCTGTGAGGTGATTACCCCTTATAGCAGCCGAAATGAAATATCTTCAGATCTCTGAACATTTCAGAACCATGGCTTGTGTAGGCTGGTGTCTGGAACTGCACAAACTGAGAAGACAGCTATCAAAAGACTGTTTTTTGCCGAATGTGCACAATCTTCGTGACCAGTAATGTCTCAATAACGCTGAATTTGTACAGTTGTTCATCGGATAGCCGGCATGGAACTGGAAGCCATCAGTGGATTTATATCCACCACGCCTCAGCCAGAAGCCTGACACTCATTTTACACATCCACCGTAGTGATGTAATTCTGGGAGAAAATACCCACGAGCGCGCAGGAATAATAATGTGCTTATTCATCATGACAAAACGGTAAAATGGAAACTAGACCAAAACAGGAAACTTGAGCCGACTTCCTGGTTTTTGAGCGGATGGCTTCTTCAACTGGGGCTGCATAATTCCGCCAGATAAATGCTAGAGGCCATGGAAAACTGATGGCTTCGTAAATGTTGACTGACTAAACCTAGCCGTATGCAACCACGGATATGATCTAAGAAGTACAACTGGTTGGTGCAAAATGTTCCTCATTTTTTGTGACGGTTGACTATCCGAAACTAGTTGCATTTGAGGTAAGCATCTTATGTAATGAAACGAACTTTGACAGAGATACGTTATCTTGCATATTCCAACGTAATCAAGGGAATTGCAATAAACACTAAGTAATGCTACTTAGCATACAACTGGAATCTACCGGGCTGCTATCCTGCAACTGCTGAGTTGTACAAAAGCGATTGCAAGCACCTTTTTAGACAGAGGGGTCTCGGCTAGGATGAGGGTTTTGGCTGTCAAAACTAAGCTGTTAACATTACACTGAAGTGTTTCATAAAATGAGAAAACCGGAAAGCTTGTATCTATCGTTATACGAGGAGAATGCTAGGATTCTTTGGTGGAAAAATACTGTGATACTGAACTGGGAGGTTCATTATCCATTACTTTTGCTGGCTATACTCATACAATCACTATTATCTTTTGGCTTGTCGTGTCCTTTTGAGACCTTTGCCGTTTATCTGTCTGCCAATCTCTAGAACAAACGGGAAAAATCTGACAAAAGGGGCTGCATTGCGCTGTTAGTTGTAATTATTGAGCACTGGTTAGGCACCTCAGATATTATTGCTGTAGTGTTACCTTCGGCTTTAAAGTTAGCAAGCCTACGGACAATTCGAGTGACCAGCTCAAGCAATATAATCCAAAATACCCTAGATTTCGGTATATAGTTTCCATCAGATAGCGTAAACGATTCTTAGTTTCTTTATTAATGGCTAGACCCATGTGATGAGGCGCAGAATATCCAGCAGTTTGTCCAAACGGGTACGCTGATTTTGAAGAGATAGCCAAATGCTTGCATTTCAGGAACACTTGGCTCCCACAACGGGATAGGATGATCCTGCCCGGTAAACTTGCTTTGTGGAAACTTTTCCGCGCCGTAACAGCAAAGCCAGTTAATGAAGCTATAACCTAACTTGTTTCAATTCTGTTTTTTGGATGCGGGAAATACGGCTTTGCACCCAACCCAGGTATGAATAAAATGTTATGGTCTTATAAACAATACTCCGAGTGGCTATATACTACAAACTCGGTGACGGTGGAGTAAAAAGGAACAGAATAGATAAAAGAAGCATCTGCGTGAAACCTATACGTGAGGGATATTTAACAGTCACCGTATCCCAAACTCCTGCCTCCGTGCTGAGGTTAAACTAAGAATCACTGATTTCTGGGGTTAACGATTGTCCGGGCATCTCCTTAGCTCAGTGAGTCCAATAAGCAATCACTTATTGTGTAAAATAGTCACGTTTGTGGAACACCCTGGATCCGCTGTTCTGGTTTATCTCTAGTAACATGATCTAAAACCTGAGATTCAGATTTGCTTCTGCTTACAGCCTTTTTATAGGCATCAATTCTGCCGATCAGGATAACGTTAGTTTAGCTGCATTTAATGAGGAAAATTCATCAATCATCAATGGCAAACGCTGTTTCGAGGAAATAGGCTTGTGCCTGATAAGCTGTCTAAACCGCCGGCACCAAGCTGACGGCTGCCGGACCATAATCACCGTATGTACCGTATAAACCGGAGAGTAGCTTGGCACCTTTCTGGGGTACCTGTTCCTCACCAATGATTTGATCCAGTTCGTCGTCAGCTTTTTCATCCGCCTTGTTATCCTCCAAACTGTTTTGTCTTTCATCAGTAACTACAGCAAAATTTGGCAACTCAGGAATTGCGTATTCGTCATCCATTTCAAGCTTGCCAAATATATGGAACAAATTCTGCGTAACTGGCGGTTTGCTTTGTCTATTCACATTGGAGACAGCAATAGCATTCTTTGCAAAAAGTCGGGGAACGTCAAGCAGGAAAATTCCCTGCTCCCACATGTCTCTGGGACTTAGTATAGTAGGCCAGGCTAAAAGATGCTCCGAAGTAAGCAGCCATTTTAATTGAAGGCTCAAAAACAAGCGCGACACTTTACGCATCATCAGACAGAAGATGTCGCTAGTGCAGAGTTTTTCTCTACTCAAGTCAGAGCTATCCTAAATAAAACACCGCCATAGTATAAAAACGGGCGGTTGAGTTTTTCAAATAGATAGCCTAGTTATAAACATTCAGTACAAGCTAATAACTCATCCAACCGTCCGTACTTTTAACTAATAGTATTGGCTTGTTGTGAGTCTTGGTCCTTCTGTTTTCGTATTTCTACTTAGTACCGAATATTAGCCTTGCTTAATGTGTTATAGGTTGGAGCTTGATATCTTGCACTATTGCTAGAATCCTCTTTTGTAGTGTATCATTTTGATCGCAAATCGGCAGGATGCATTATCGCTAAGAATAACTGTCAAATGCATACAAACTCAACAGCCTATATGGTACAGTTTGATAGAGATTGCTCCACAAGTGCTCCACCAAGACTGTTGCACGAGAATATGCACACTCCTGCTTTGATTATAGTTTAAGCCAGTGCTTAGAAATTGTTAAAATTTATACTGGGCTAACAACAAAGTAACTGAACGACGGTTTATTCCGTGAGCTGAAAAAACTGCCTACATAATGTTTGATTGTACACAACAACCGGTCAGTTATCAGGCCCCGCTACGGATTCTAATTTGATTGATAATAAAACGTTCACCGCTAAATTGTTAGGCTCGGCGAACAAGACAACGACTATCAACGCTGTCTGAGCTATCAACACTTTCCTAAATAGCACAACAAAGTGATTGTTGCTTTCCGCAGCAGTTTCGAACGTTTGCCATAAAGCAGGTAAGAAGCGTTAAGTAACTTAGAGTTTAATTACCATCAAAGTAATTACTGTACAAGAACATGAGTGAGACGTCTTTTAAATACTGTAATTGTGTTCATTTGTCAGCGGATAACCGCCCCAAGTGACTCAACCTAGGTAACATAATATTAGGTTTTACACATTACTGTGGAGCGACTTCCTAATATCATTTCCAAGTTCGAAACTCCGAACCACAAAACTACTTTCCCCTCGAAGTACAACACGCACCCACCTCCACACAGATCATACGTCATGATGTATGTCCTTATCCAAAATGTTCTTTATATTCTTTATATAAAGCTCATGGAAAAGTTATAAACGTAGCCAGTTTTCCCGGCATTCGTACACGACCATACGGCATGCCATTCGCTGATAAACATCGCAATCCCAGTTACTTGGTTTGACAAACCCGTCAAAAGGAAGCAGTAGAAACTCCGCGATACTGTAGTGTTTGTCGGTTTTTCGACATCAACTCAAATTTTTAATGCATATCACTGTATGCTTTAGTCGGTATTCTACTTCGTACTTTCAAGGAAGACGGTTTCTCACATGTTGGTATCAGGACGCATTTCCTGAACTTTTAAACTTGATAGCTTAAATTGACATTTTGGAGACTCCTTGTTAATTACTTACTTTGCTTACTTACGATTCGTCTGGGTTCGTCTGAGTCTTCTCTGTAGGACAGAGACTTCTTTTGGTCTTTTTAGTATCCTTCACCATATGGGATTTGACAACTCAAAGTTAACTCAAAGCGTCCCCACCTTGGTATTTTTTGCTTTTAATGAAAATAATTTTATTTCTTCATTACAGTAACCAGGTTTGCGTGAGATATGTCCAACTATTATTTTCTGGGTTCCTCACTAGATCGGACTTTTTCGGCATTGATGGGCAATTTTAACCGGCAGCACTAATGTTCCATTCTTAGTGGCCTAGTGTAAAGTGTTTGGCGTATCTGTGCCTGCATCCTCCACTGTTCTTATGGTTTAAGTCCCTTGGCCAGTTCCAAACAAGGTAACTTTGGAAAACACAGCTAAATGCACAAGATAACTTTCAGTAGAATTTTACTCGTAGTATCCACCGTACTGAAGTTCCATACTTGTGGTTTATAGAGAACTAAGGATAAATTGAAATTTCCGGAAAACACATGCATAAATGGTGGTGGGACAAACAGTCAGCTTGTCCGGGTGAAAAGCTTTTCCGCCCCAGCGAGTGGTTTTCGTGGTAAGGGCCCTGTAGTACTATGAAAAATGGTGTTAAATATAAACTGACCACATGGACTAAGTGTCTACGTGTCTCAGGTGTCTGCGCACTACGAAACTCAAGCGAAACAGAGGGGAATCCCTCACTCCAAGTACGACATACATCATACCACTGAAATTCCACCTGCAGAAAGTCTCTTTTTCTTTGCATATGTTGCGTACACTTTTAAAGCTCTTCAGACGTTATAAATTTACAAATCAGTCGCGATTTGCCATACACGATTAATTACCGCCTGAATTACACTGCACACCTGATGAAAGGACGACTTAGTAGGACAATTTGAATGGTCCATTTTTTGACACAAGGATATGTCAAACCACTTAGGAGAAATAACCTTCGAAACGTACCTGCACGTCCGTCCAGCTCTGATAGATTTTTGTCCCGCTCCAAAACTTTGTCCACATTCACACGCATAATATCAACTACTTCATTCACCTGCGCTTGCGTCTGTTGCAGCCTTTTGTTTGGAATAATAGGGGTTTTTTCTGTCATTTTTGGTGCTGGTTTGCAGTGAGCCCTCCGATACTTTGAATGGGAACGTTCAAGTGCAATAAATAATATAAAATCAATTGATGAATTCAAACACTCGGTGGCTAGGTGTTCACCTGCAGCCAAAGCCTTGCGCCTCTCCGAGCAGGGATCGCTGGGATATCCCAGTTCTCCTTCATCTCATAGAATGCTCCAGCTGTTTCAGTTGTCGAATAGGGCACATCAATTGTGGAGATCATAAGCATGAACATGAGCTGGACCTCGCTCGAAAAAACAAAAACGTACTGTTCAAGTACATGAGACATCGCCGCAGAAACAAGCCATCTGCGTTCTCCTTGAGGGACAGAAACGGAGAACCGACGAATGACCCAACAGTGGTATCTGAGGCTTACAGAGAACACTATGCGTGTCTATACTCAGCCCCAGCGTCCTCGTCACATCCACTCTTGTCAA